CAAACTGAAGTCCTATCAACATTCCAGTTCCATCTTTTAAACACATTACCTAATTTTGTTAAAATTTTTATTTATAAAATACAAAATCTTATTACTTATTATCTATAAAATAGGAGCGAAACATCTCATCCACTAAAATATCGTTGTACAATGTGTTCTCTGTAAATATACTCATAAAACTATGCATTGAACATCCCTGAAACTTATATAGCAAATACATTAAGCAATATTCGCCACAAACTGAAGTCCTATCAACATTCCAGTTCCATCTTTTACAATTTCGTACAGGTGCCCGTCCATATGAATCAAAATATTCACCGACGTCATTCGTATCGATATATAAAGCTACCCAATGTGACCCTGGTTTATCATCTGTACCCAAATTGCATATTACCTAGTCAGGTCATAAATTCTATCACATGTTTAATGTAAAATAATTGAAACAAGTTTATTCATTATGTAACCATTTATATACCAAAATGAACTTAACAAAACATAGATTCTTATGACACTATAGTTTATTCAAAATGACCTCCGTAATTTTGAATACAGGCCTTCAATCTGCGCGGCCAGTCGTCTATCTCACCACGAACGAGGTCCATGTCATATCGGCGGCTGCCTTAATTAAAGATGTCTTGAGTGACTCGAAATTGGGATGAGGCTTTGAGCACGCCTTTTCCTCCAAGTGTTACCATATCTTGTAATCTAACGGATTCAAATCTGGACTGGTCTTTGTGTCGGATGAAGTCGATTTCACGCGCCGCCAGCCAGTCTTTTTTTTTGTTTTTAAAGAACGTTACCTCCACACTAGGCTTTTCTCCTGTATCGTGGGGGCAGTTTACAAACACAAATTTCACAAGGACAAACATCCAAACTCGGAACAATTACTTGTAGGTCGTACAAATACTTGTTCCGTGCGGGATTCGAACCCGCGACCCCCAAGCGCAGCCACTCATTGCTAAGCCACTACGCCACGGAGCTGTCAAAAGTCTTGTGTGCTCTTCGCTCTATGAGCTGACGCCGAATCTTGTTGGAATACCCAGTGCCTGTTATTGAACATGGTATGAGAAACAGGTTACACAAGGTTCGTCAGGACTGTATTTTGATACACAACTGCATTCGTTTTTAACCTTTCTCACAAAAATGTACCTCTGTTAAGCCCCAATAAGAAACTCCCAACCATACCATGAGCGAGGATGGAAAATGACCTCGTTGGACACGCGGAATACGGTTGCTCGCTTCTTCACTACTGTGTGCGTACACCTTATCATTTTGTTTGTTGTAGCTCTCTTCTACGGTAAAAATTTTTTTATCCGAAAAAAGAATTTCCCGATATTTTTTTCCCGCGTACCGCTTCACCAAAGCGCGGCATCTCTTCAGTCTCAGATCCATTAGACGAGCATTCAAACGATGTCCTGTTTTTCTTCGATATGCCCGAAGCCCTAAGTCTTCATTTAACGCCGTGGTTCTGCTTAACCCCATCTGAAGGGCCAACAGTTTCTGCTTACGTTTGGGATTACATTGAATTCGCACCTTTACAGCTTTTATCACTGCTGGAGTCCTAACAAATCGAGGGCGACCACTTCTTGACCTGTCATCTACACTAGAGTCTTCATTGTATCGTTTGATGGTACGATAAACGAATCTTTTGGTTATATTCAAATTTTTCAGTATATCAAAAAATTTAATTGGCGCGTAATCGCAACTGCAACACGGTCTTTTTTAAGCGTCCACTCCATATGTAAAAATGAGTAAAATTCTAAAAAGTATACAGTTTTATTTTCATGAACAATTCGAATTCAATAAACTTTTTTGTGGCCAGCATTCTAAAAGAAAAGTTTTTACTGTGTGACAATACTTATGACCTGACTAGGTATATACGTTGGTACGTGGGTGTACATGGGCAGTCTGTTAGCAGCATAAACATTATTTTCTAGACTGGGGTGAATCTTTTTCAGATGTTGTTGTACATCTAGTGTATCCATGATATTACTGCTATTAGTAGATTACTACAGTACAATCTACTCAATGACTAACATAGGAATGATCAATTATGTGATTTCTAAATATTAAATTGCATTTTTTCTGTTATACAAAACGTATTTGAGTCATCAATACACTGAATAAGACGCAACACGAAGAATGTGAGATAAGGTTGTTGACGCATAAAGTTATTATCAATTCTACTGTAGAAATTCTTTAGATTAGAATTATAACGTACTTACTGGTACTATATAAGACCAAGCAACTGCAGTCATGGAGTTAGTGTATGGTCGTTTGACCGCAGTGTATCTATCAATAATACATTTGCGTTACTTCAACGCATCAAAGGCCATAGATGTAAGTGTTTAATCTATTGACAAACTTACTTTTCTTTCTGTTATTTTTTTACGTGTGTATGATTTTGAACGACAGGCCTGTTGGTCTAGTGGTTAGTGACCCTGACTGTTATGCCGGAGGTCGTGGGTTCGATTCCCACCCAGGACAAATGTTTGTGTGATGAGCACGATCATTTGTTCTGTGTCTGGGTGTAATTTATCTATAATATTTATGTATTTAGAAATATATAAGTATGTTTATCAGTTGTCTAGTACCCATAACACAAGCTCTGCTTAGCTTGGGACTAGATGGCGTTGTGTGATAGTTGTGGAAAATATTATTATGTGTGGGGTATCTATATAGTTTTCTCATCTGGTTGGGATGTATAAATATATAATTATAAACGAAAATGAAAGGATAAATATACATAAATATCAATAAAATAAAATAAATACAAAAATACATAAATAAATAAAAGCCCAACCAGATGGAAGCCCTCGGCAGGGGAGACCAAACGGCCAAGGGTTAGGAAGAAAGGGAAAGAAACCGGCGGACGATGCGGGCAGTATCAAGGAGCACCGCCTTCTGCATTTGAGCCCGGAGCGGTCCGTCACGGAGTCCCAGTCGCCTCAGATGACCAGAGAGGCTAACTGGGATTAGCCCATTCGCAGAGACGACTACAGGAATAATTTCGGCCGGCAGACCACCCCACATGTCCGTCACCTCGTGAGCCAGGTCCAGATATTTTGATTGCTTATCTGTTTCGGCTCTCACGAGGTTCTCGTCATACGGGATGTTAATATCGACCAAAAATATCCTTGACTGTGCCCGGTCCATCAGCACAATATCAGGCTTATTCGCAAGAATAGTCCTGTCTGTGATGATGGCCCGGTCCCAGTAGAGCCTGGCGCGGTCATTTTCGAGCACGGCTTCCGGCAAGTACTTGTAATACGGCAATTTCCGGTCCACGAGACCGTATTTCAGAGCGAGCTCCTGGTGTAGAATTCTGGCTACTAGGTTGTGCCTGTGCAAGTACTCAGAGTTAGAAAGCGCCGAACAACCGGAGATGACATGCCTAAGTGACTCCCCGGGATGGCGACAAGCTCGACAGACGTCGACGGTGCCATCCTTTAGGATGTATCTCCGATAGTTGTTGGTCTTAATAACCTGATCCTGTATTGCACAGACAAAACCCTCGGTTTCCCCGAAGAGGTCACCGAAACGTAGCCAGTTGAGGGAGGCGACTGTATCTACGAAGGGCTCATGTAGAGCCTTGTAGTACCTCCCGTGGAGCTCCTTCTCCTTCCATACGGTCTCCCGGTCGGAAATGCTAAGCACTGCTGGGTCCTGCCATTGCTCGTTGGCTAAGGATAGAGGGGTAAGCCCTTTATCACTAGAAATGACGTCATTATAGAATGGATCATCCGATCTCGCCAGGAAGTAATGACGGAGACTGCACACTTCGCGATTATGCATGGTGAGCGCGCTCAGAAAGCCACGCCCACCATACTTTCGCGGCAAGTACAGCCTCATTACCGACGATCTCGGATGATGCATCCTATGGGACGTCATGGTAGTGCGGACTTTTCTATCCAGGGCGTTAAGCTCAGTCTGAGTCCACCTGAGTATGCCAAAGGTATACATGAGGACAGGCATGACCCAGCCGTTATATGCGTGTGTTTTATTCACACCGGACAAAAGGCTGTTAAGCACTTTGGTCAAGCGTGCATAAAACACGTCGCAAACTGACTGTTTCATACCAGCCTCATCGATACCGATGTTCTGTGACATACCCAGGTATCGGTATGTTTCAGCCTCGGAAAGGGTCCTTAAGTTGACGGGCATAGACAAGTCTATGCCCTCAGAGTTAGCAACCCTTCCCCTTTCAACATGGAGGACCGCACACTTATCCGTCCCCAGCTCCATTCCAATGGAACTGCTAAATTCACAAGTGATGTTTAGCAGTTCCATAAGATGGGAGCGACTGGAAGCGAATAACTTGAGGTCATCCATATAAAAAAGGTGGGTCACTTTTGTCCCTCCTTTCCGTAGCTGAAATCCCCTCCCGGAGCCCTCCAGTAAGGTACTGAGAGGGTTAAGAGAGAGGCAGAACCAGATTGGACTCAGACAATCGCCCTGGAAGATACCCCTTCTTATCCTTATGTGGTTCTCCGCAGCCGTCATCCGCTCGCCCAGATGACAAAGGATCGTACTCCACTGCCCCATACACTGCTCGAGGAAGTCTCTAACTGTCCACTCTATCTTGTACAGCTCGAGGACCCTCTTTAGCCATGTATGGGGCACCGAGTCGAACGCCTTTCTGTAGTCTATCCAGGCGGCAGAGAAGTTCCGACGGTTGCGTTTCACCACTTTGCCAATGACCGCGTCAATGAGGAGTGGTTCCTTAGTTCCACGACCACCGCCCCGACATCCATTTTGAGCGCGTGACGTCACCTGGTTTAGCTCCAGGTGACGAGTGATTCTCGCGCTCAAAATGGATGTCAGTGTCTTATATATGGTGGGTAGACACGTGATGGGGCGGTATTTGCTCGGGTCTGTGGTATCCTGGTCTTTAGGAACCAAATGAGTGATCCCAGTAGTGAAGAGGCTCGGGAGCGACTTCTGGTCGAGAGCCTCTTGAAACTGTCGAGCGAGCACAACGTGACACACTACGAACCCCTTCAGCCAGTGTTGATGCAGCCCGTGTCGAGTCCCGGACATTTCCAATTCGGGGCCCTACGGACCGCTTCAGCCACGTCTTCCGGCGTTATGGTGACGGTATCCATAGGCGTAATACTCGCACCCTGGCTCGCCACAACTTCCATCCAAGGGCCCTCGCTGTGGTTTACGGGCTCTGACCACAGGCCACGCCAAAATGCGACAGTGTCAGCCTGCTCCGGTCCTTGGCCCGCTCCACATACCTTTGGTCGCTCCAATAATTTATAGAGCCTCTTCTGATCACTCTGGAAGAGACGATTCTGGTTGAACCGCCTTGACCCCTCGGAAAATCGTCGAATCCGCTTCCCCCAAGCAGCGATCTTTTGCTTCAGGTCGTCTATGCGCTCCGTTAGTTTCTGCGTGATATCCGGCTGGGACAAACTGATATTTGTCCCAGCAAACGCCATCCTAACGGTGCGCATAATCCTCGGTCTATTATTACCCGACCTGAAGCTTGTCAGTCTGCCGATAAGGGCCCTTGCCTTTGCGATACGGTCCTCGATTCTTTTCCTCCAGGCTGGGATGGCGCTACTTTGTGTAGTAGCGCGTCCAGCCATGGGAAGTTTGGCGCCAATAATACGGCAAACTGCCACTGCGGCGCCAAAGAGAATCGAGTCCGTCTCGCAAAGGTCCCGGCTGGCTTCCAAATAGGTCACCAGCATTGGGTTAAGAGCCCTCACGACAGCCCGATTTCGCTTGCTTAAGGGTATGCGGGGAAGTCGCGGTCGATTTTCGAGAGGGGTGCTGCGCGTTTCCAAAATCGCCTCTTCCAATATACTCCTCATTTGCTCTAGTTCGTGGGAGACCATTTCATCGTCGTCCGAATCAACCACAACTGGAAGATCCATGGCGGCTTCCACGCGTGGAAGCTGGTCTGTCGTATGTGGAGCTGCATCTCCAGCCATAGCCGATTCATTCGACGAGGGAATAGCCTCACGTCGTAGTCGTTCGAGCTCGGCATCATCAAATATTTTCGAGCGCATGATGTACCGAACTCGGTCTGCCAGGTTTTGTTCCGTGACGGGGATAGACGGCTCCAGCTCAGCAAAAAAGCAATGCATCCGAGCCCTATACGCTATTCCCGCAGTTTCTTCCCCTTTCGCCCTATAGTACGCCCGCAATGCGTTTTCGTTCATGGATTTTGTCCAACGCATGCGACGTGCTCCACCAGCGGCGGGTGCCGCTTGCCGGGTCCGAGAAGACCCAGCCGACACCAAGCCTTCTGGTGGGGATGATGGATGCGAGGGGCTGCTAGGTGATCGTGCAGCTCCTCGCGCTCGGCTGGCGGCCCGCATGCTGCCGCGTCCAGCGCCAGCTCCAGACGCGCCCCGGCGACCCCCCAGGCAGCGGCCCTATGCGCTTTCCTTTTTGTGTTTCTTCCATCATCCATTTTATGGGCGCCAAATAACGGGAGACGCCCAGGCCCGGCACCGTTTCGTGGTTGGGCCATATGCACAAACGGACCTTTGCATCTACAATTTTGCCTAGGCACGGCGCTCACACCTCTTGGCAGGATGCTGACTGACTGCGCCGACGTCGCAGTTTTGTCACATAACTGTTACGTCAGCGGGCGATGGGATATTATTATTATTAATTAATTTAGTAACAATTAAATATTGTATGTATATGTTAAGCCGTGTCAGTTAGCGCAAGCTACAAAACGGTTCGATCCCCGCCGACACCAATTAAATTGTTAATTGCAATTTTAAGTGTTATTCTATTGACACACTTACTTTTCTTTCTGTTATTTTCTTACGTGTGTATGATTTAGTGTTAACAAATTATATTTAAATATTGTGTGTGTATATGATTAAGCCGTGGTAGCTCAGATGGTTAGCGCAAGCTGTAAATTTTACAGTACGTAACGCGGGTTCGATCCCCGCCGACACCAATTAAATTGTTAATTGCAATTTTAAGTGTTTATTCTATTGACACACTTACTTTTCTTTCTGTTATTTTCTTACGTGTGTATGATTTAGTGTTAACAAATTATATTTAAATATTGTGTGTGTATATGGTTAAGCCGTGGTAGCTCAGATGGTTAGCGCAAGCTGTAAATTTTACAGTATGTAACGCGGGTTCGATCCCCGCCGACACCACTTAAATTGTTAATTGCAATTTTAAGTGCTGATTTACCACGTGCTCGGCGGTGAAGGAAAACATCGTGAGGAAACCTGCATGTCTGAGAAAATTTCGAAGGCATGTGAAGTTCGCCAACACGCATTGAGACCGCGCCGCGGACATTTCCTAGCCATAAATACAAAGACAATAGCAGAAAGTAAAAAGTTAAAAAATACTTTTTTAACAATGACAGTCATTAGTTGATCATTAGTGAATGTGATTCTGTTTTCTTAAATTACAGGAAGAAAAGAGCAGAAGGAAGAAATGGGGTGATGGGAAGTAATGAAGAATGAATTGTTATGTGAAGTTTGTTGGAACAAACATATTTTAGTCACGTGTAAATACTTTTAACATTTTGGTTCAAAATGACACAAAATCTAAAAAATATTAGATACATCATCGACATGGACGGATTTTACATTACATATCCTCATAAACATTTTCAATGTAGAGAAATGGCTATTCTAGACGTAAAACTATCTAATAAAAATGATTCGTTTATCGATCATTATTTGTTTCAGCCAAGTTATCCTTTCAATTATTTGTCGCCAAAAGACAAAAAAACTGTTCGTTATTGTGAAATACACGTGCACGGCATTCCATATTTTGATGTGACCGAAGAATTAAAATGTGCCTACAAACAAGAGAACATCATTCCCATATTAAATTGGTATATTAGAAATTTGTGCAAAGACGAAGTGATCGCATACAAAGGTGGTTCAACAGAAAAACAATTTTTAAAAATGTTGACGACGAATGATAGAATTTTTAATATTGAAGAATACAAATGTCCAAAATACAATGATTTGGTAAATGTCAAAAATTTAAACAAACGTTATGTGTGTAATAATCATATATTTGCAAAAAATAAACACAAAATTTTACATTGTTCTTGTGACGAAGTGTGGGTTTTTTACAAGTGGTTATTACTTGAAAATAAAATTTTAAATTAATCATAAATTTTGTTTGATTTCCAAAAAACATTAGACAAAATTGGTTCAACAGAAAAACAATTTTTAAAAATGTTGACGACGAATGATAGAATTTTTAATATTGAAGAATACAAATGTCCAAAATACAATGATTTGGTAAATGTCAAAAATTTAAACAAACGTTATGTGTGTAATAATCATATATTTGCAAAAAATAATCACAAAATTTTACATTGTTCTTGTGACGAAGTGTGGGTTTTTTACAAGTGGTTATTACTTGAAAATAAAATTTTAAATTAATCATAAATTTTGTTTGATTTCCCAAAAACATTAGTTATAGAATACTATATAATACAAAATTGGTTCAACAGAAAAACAATTTTTAAAAATGTTGACGACGAATGATAGAATTTTTAATATTGAAGAATACAAATGTCCAAAATACAATGATTAGGTAAATGTCAAAAATTTAAACAAACGTTATGTGTGTAATAATCATATATTTGCAAAAAATAATCACAAAATTTTACATTGTTCTTGTGACGAAGTGTGGGTTTTTTACAAGTGGTTATTACTTGAAAAATAAAATTTTAAATTAATCAAAAATTTTGTTTGATTTCCAAAAAAACATTAGACAAAATTGGTTCAACAGAAAAACAATTTTTAAAAATGTTGACGACGAATGATAGAATTTTTAATATTGAAGAATACAAATGTCCAAAATACAATGATTTGGTAAATGTCAAAAATTTAAACAAACGTTATGTGTGTAATAATCATATATTTGCAAAAAATAATCATCAAAATTTTACATTGTTCTTGTGACGAAGTGTGGGTTTTTTTACAAGTGGTTATTACTTGAAAATCAAAATTTTAAATTAATCATAAATTTTGTTTGATTTCCAAAAAACATTAGAAACAAAATTCGTTCAACAGAAAAACAATTTTTAAAAATGTTGACGACGAATGATAGAATTTTTAATATTGAAGAATACAAATGTCCAAAATACAATGATTTGGTAAATGTCATAAATTTAAACATATTTTGGACATTTGTATTCTTCAATATTAAAAATTCTATCATTCGTCGTCAACATTTTTAAAAATTGTTTTTCTGTTGAACCAATTTTGTATTATATAGTATATTATAACTAATGTTTTTGGGAAATCAAACAAAATTTATGATTAATTTAAAATTTTATTTTCAAGCAATAACCACTTGTAAAAAACCCACACTTCGTCACAAGAACAATGTAAAATTTTGTGATTATTTTTTGCAAATATATGATTATTACACACATAACGTTTGTTTAAATTTTTGACATTTACCAAATCATTGTATTTTGGACATTTGTATTCTTCAATATTAAAAATTCTATCATTCGTCGTCAACATTTTTAAAAATTGTTTTTCTGTTGAACCAATTTTGTATTATATAGTATACTATAACTAATGTTTTTGGGAAATCAAACAAAATTTATGATTAATTTAAAATTTTATTTTCAAGCAATAACCACTTGTAAAAAACCCACACTTCGTCACAAGAACAATGCAAAAATTTTGTGATTATTTTTTGCAAATATATGATTATTACACACATAACGTTTGTTTAAATTTTTGACATTTACCAAATCATTGTATTTTGGACATTTGTATTCTTCAATATTAAAAATTCTATCATTCGTCGTCAACATTTTTAAAAATTGTTTTTCTGTTGAACCAATTTTGTCTAATGTTTTTTGGAAATCAAACAAAAGTTTATTATTAATTTAAAATTTTATTTTCAAGTAATAACCACTTGTAAAAAACCCACACTTCGTCACAAGAACAATGTAAAATTTTGTTTTTATTTTTTGCAAATATATGATTATTACACACATAACGTTTGTTTAAATTTATGACATTTACCAAATCATTGTATTTTGGACATTTGTATTCTTCAATATTAAAAATTCTATCATTCGTCGTCAACATTTTTAAAAATTGTTTTTCTGTTGAACCACCTTTGTATGCGATCACTTCGTCTTTGCACAAATTTCTAATATACCAATTTAATATGGGAATGATGTTCTCTTGTTTGTAGGCACATTTTAATTCTTCGGTCACATCAAAATATGGAATGCCGTGCACGTGTATTTCACAATAACGAACAGTTTTTTTGTCTTTTGGCGACAAATAATTGAAAGGATAACTTGGCTGAAACAAATAATGATCGATAAACGAATCATTTTTATTAGATAGTTTTACGTCTTGAATAGCCATTTCTCTACATTGAAAATGTTTATGAGGATATGTAATGTAAAATCCTTCCATGTCGATGATGTATCTAATATTTTTTAGATTTTGTGTCATTTTGAACCAAAATGTTAAAAGTATTTACACGTGACTAAAATATGTTTGTTCCAACAAACTTCACATAACAATTCATTCTTCATTACTTCCCATCACCCCATTTCTTCCTTCTGCTCTTTTCTTCCTGTAATTTAAGAAAACAGAATCACATTCACTAATGATCAACTAATGACTGTCATTGTTAAAAAAGTATTTTTTAACTTTTTACTTTCTGCTATTGTCTTTGTATTTATGGCTAGGAAATGTCCGCGGCGCGGTCTCAATGCGTGTTGGCGAACTTCACATGCCTTCGAAATTTTCTCAGACATGCAGGTTTCCTCACGATGTTTTCCTTCACCGCCGAGCACGTGGTAAATCAGCACTTAAAATTGCAATTAACAATTTAAGTGGTGTCGGCGGGGATCGAACCCGCGTTACATACTGTAAAATTTACAGCTTGCGCTAACCATCTGAGCTACCACGGCTTAACCATATACACACACAATATTTAAATATAATTTGTTAACACTAAATCATACACACGTAAGAAAATAACAGAAAGAAAAGTAAGTGTGTCAATAGAATAAACACTTAAAATTGCAATTAACAATTTAATTGGTGTCGGCGGGGATCGAACCCGCGTTACGTACTGTAAAATTTACAGCTTGCGCTAACCATCTGAGCTACCACGGCTTAATCATATACACACACAATATTTAAATATAATTTGTTAACACTAAATCATACACACGTAAGAAAATAACAGAAAG